TTAATAACTATGAAGAAGAGTTTTATTTCTGATGTAACGGAAGAAAAAAGTGTTTTTATTAATATATTTTTTACTGTATTTGCAGATAATCCAGGTTTATATTATATAATTGGTCTGTTTGCTGTTGTCAGTGTGGCTCAGCTCGAGTCTCAGTCACGAGTTCATTTATCTAAATAATCTGTAGCGACCAAAGCAGCTCTTGATCATAGTATTATATCACATTACATCTATATAATATATGTTTTTGTTCCTTTATGTAAATATCTGTAGTTTCAGGAAAGCTTGTATCTCCCAAACGTCTAAAGGCGAGGCTCGTACTTCCTGTTTAATATCTAAAGGTAACCAACACTATGAAAGCTAAGTCTGTGCAGCCAACGGGTCAGTAGATCCGTGAGAAACGTAACAAGGAGCAAAAATGAAATCTGGAAACTTTTTCTACGTCTACACTCGATCAGCTACAACACGTCATGTAGATGGAGGCGACACTGGGCTGTTTGGGTGGAGCCATGCTAACAGTTTCCCCCTGCTTCCAGTGTTTGTGCTAAACTAGGCTAACCACATGCTGGGTGAAGCTAACACACAGTAGTGACGTGTTCTGTCCACAGGGGGAGCTGTGGTGCGCAGGTGTTGGTCCTGTTAAACATCTGAAGGTTTGAACCTCCTGAACTCGAACAAACTGGAGATACAAGGTTTCCAAACATTATTACAATCTGATTGGCTGATCACAAGGGGGCGTGGCTGAAGCAAAGTCCAAACAAGCTGAGAAGAGGAAGCTGATTGGTTGGTTGGTAATGCAGTTCACTTGTCGGAGTGAAGCTTTCTGGCCCCGTCGTCTCCTCTCCAAACTCCTCAAACAAAATCCTGAATGGTTGGTGTCAGAGGCCCGGCCTGCTGTCAATCAAGCTGCTGTCACGGCGACGGTGGCCCCATCAAAGATCCACTCACTCTGGAAGTTAGCTGGAGACGAAACCAAACGTGTTTGTGAGCGACTGAATCAACAATGTCTGAAAACACAGACGATTCAACCTGCTGAACAGTGACGAGTCCACGACACGCAGCAAAGACACACAAAGACACACAAAGACACACAAAGACACAGACCAGCAGCCCCACCCTGAAAGGTAACGCTGTAGTTACAGTCGAACCTGCTGATCTGAAGACAGCAGCAGATGTAATCAGCTGAGTAAATCAGTAAAAACACCCTGAACATCACAGCGATGATGCAGCCTCTCGTTCATGTTACTGACGCCATCAGGCTCCTGATCAGATGATGGACCTCAGACCATCACTGACCCCCCGCCAGCCTGGTCACGCTCTACAGGCAGCGTCTTCACAGCTTCTCCAGACCCTTTCACATCAGACCTGCAAGTCTGCTATTCTATGGCTCCGCCTCCCAGGCAGTGAGCACAGGGCCTATAGAGGATGTCGGGCCTTCAGGCCATCCTCATGAAGCCTGGTTGTTTGGTCAGAGACGTTCACACCAGCGGCCAGCTGGAGGTCAGGGTACATTGTAGGTGGTGGAGGGCGACTGTGTGCCCGGCCGAGCTAGTGGGTGAGGCCACTGCCAGGCTGTCAAGTGTACCAGGGGCATGCAGCTAAACTTGTCACACCAGCGGCCTGCTGGAGGTCATCGTGTAGCTCTGATATCCTCGTTCTGTTCTGATACCGGCCCTGATGATGGCCTCCTACGGCCGGAGTCTCCATGCTCTGCAGACGGTGCTGGGAGACACACAAACCTTCTGACACTGGCAGGTATTGATTTGCTGGAGGAGTTGGACTTCCTGTGCTAGTTGATTTCATGAACGTCAGAGCAGCTGAAACTGATTAACAGTCTCTCTACTCCTGAACTAATCAGAGGTTTAACCTCTTAAGCCCCAAGCCTACCTGATCTCCTGCCTTTTGCCCCCGTATCAGGGGGCGTTGGGGCTTAAGAGGTTAACCGACTGGCTGCTGTGCTCTGATTTAAAAGTGTCCCTTTCAGTTTCCTGAGCAGTGTGTGGTGGATGCTTGTCGTGGTTTGGGGTCATTTTGCTGTTCCTTTCACAGCAGACCTGCTGAACCTCTGTGCTCCTGTCCTCAGCACACCGACTGTGGATCAGCACCTGGTGTGAACCCTCGACTGCACTTTTTCCACTCGAGTGGACAGTCTGTACGAGGGGACGGCTGCTGAGATCTGATGCATCAGGCGGGTTTGTTGGTTCCTGGGTTTTGTCTCTCAGGAACGACAGTCTGGCTCAGATTCAGTCTGCAAACACGAGTGGGGCTAAAATAAGCAGCTCCACCTCCACCCAGATTCATTTATCATCGCCATGAAGCAGAGCGAAGGCGTGATGCAGAAACAGCTTCACAGCGTTTCATATGAGGGATGATTCAGTGATTCAGCACCAGCCACCTGCAGTGAATGTGTTGTTGGTAAAAGAGCAAATATACTAAGAATGGAGAAAACTGGTGCTGAGGAATAAACACGTGACTTCACTGATGTCTGCTGAGGATCAGATTCATCCTGCCTCTCTTCACACTTTTTCTCCGTGCAGCTCGTTATCATGCTGGTTTTTCCCAGCTGCCCCGAACGCCCCGCTGCCCTTTGACCTGCTCTTACTTGCTCAGCGTGGAGGGGGAGCCTGAGCGGTGGAAGTGCACGATCTGCCACTTCCCGTCGCGGCGGTGCCACACCCTGGTCTCCTCCGATTGGGCGGTGCGAGGCGTCCCGTTGGAGTCGATGTACTGCGTCACCCTGACGTATGCGATGCAGGCGGCCTCGTCGCCCACCAGGTGGATGTGGGGGTTCAGGATGGTGGTGTGCACCGGTTTGCTGTTCTTGGACCACACTGCAGACACAGACGGACAGGTGAACACGGTCAGGTGACCTCTGAGAGTTTTTTAAAAAGCAAGGTGTAACAGGAAGTCTGCTTCAGCTCACAGTTTTCAAAGTAAAAGCGGTGGAAGTCCAGGCCTTCGACCAGATTCCCCAACGCCTCGGGCTCGAACGCCGTCACAGCCGGGTCGCACATTTTACTGCAGGGAGAGAATCGTTTACTGAGTCAGAGACACGTTTAACAGGGAGCAGGTGAGAAAAACCATCCACACGCACAACACGCACACGCACAACACGCACACGCACAACACGCACACGCACAACACGCACAACACGCACAACACGATCCTGTCGGAGCTCTGACCCCCGTCTCTGTGAACCTTCGAGCCCGGCTCAGCAGCCCAAACTTTCATTAGCTTTTATTCTTTATTGATCACTCATAGATGAAACACCTGCAGGACACTTTGTTACACATATTAGGATAAATGTGTTTCCTGCTTTGATTTCTTTTGTTTTCTTAGGATGGGAGTTTTTCCGTCGCTAAAGTGCTTGCTCATATGATTGTTGGTTTTTCTCTGTATGTATTGCTGTAGGGTCTACCTTACAATATAAAGCACCTTGAGGCGACTGTTGTTGCGATTATAAAACTTTAACGGTTCAATCAACACACAGAAAAACAGATTTTATTGGCGAGCCAATCATCAAAGATGTCTGAGATTAGAAAGCAGGAAGTATCAGTTCATTAAACAGGGCGCCTTCAACATCACGGCCAGGCCGGATCGTTTGGGCCAGTTTGGAGATTCAGGCCACAGTTAAATACATCGCTGTGATGTTTACAGTGACGCCGACGTCCCCAAAGCGCTCTGTGAGCAGGAGAGAGAGCGTGACTGAAGTGTTTGTAACATTTGGGGAAAAGCTGAGCGTGGGTCAGAAGACGACTATGCTGATTCGCTCTCAGCGTTTAAAGACCGCCCACTGATCAGGAC